TGTGTAAAAATTGCAAGCCTACAATAAACAACAATAGAATTCCTAACAGATGTGTATTAAATGGTTTGCAAAGTGAACCTTTGCCAGACGAGCTTAAAGGCCTAGACGCCTTTAGTACTCAGTTAATTCAACTAGCAAAATGCTTCCAAACTGTTGTTAGACTGGGAACTTACACTGCTAAAGTCCCAATATACAACTCTTTAAAAGCATGCAAAGGGACAGTGTTTTATCTCCCATTGCCAGTTGAAAAAACAATGAAAACTTTAAGTAAAGCAGAAGACTTTAGACCAAAAAATCTGCCAAATCCCGAATTGCACGTCATTTTAAACAGTGAAGCTACAAAAACTAATAAAATCTGGCGCACTTTAGTTGATGTCGACAAAGTGCAAGCTGCTTATGAGAAACTGAAAGACATCAACTGGCTTTATGGAAATCTTGACGACGAATCTTTAGATGATGTAGCAAAAAAAGTCGTCGAAACAGCCAACAGTGCTACCAGTACTATGGTGGAGGAAGCAACCGATGAGGACATTCTAGGCTTCCAGTCTTACACGATTCAGAACATGAATTCGAATTTAAACAAGGGGAGCGACATCCAGCAATACAAAATGACGCATGTCAGGGAAGACCCACTCGATAACAGACAGATGCACTTGGATGTCATGTGCTTTCCAACTCTGTTTCCAACTGGGAGGTTTGGAGAGTATCATCCAAGGCCAGTGAATCTAAATTTAGCCGAATACATAAAGTCTCGAATTTTGAGCGAAGACTCTCGATATCGATTGTGCCACTCTTACCTCTTCTACTATCTCAGAATCAAACAGATCAAGGAGTTGAAGGGTGGCATATTCAAACTGCTCAATACGGTGAAAGGTCCCTCCATGACTGCTGCACAGTTCGTAGACCAAGTCAAAACGAATGGAGAACTTCTTGAAAAGAGGCTCTGTACCATGATGAACACTGTTCGTGGCTCAAACCAATACTGGTACCTGAGAAGAAGTGAAGTGAAACGCATGATAGCAGAGTTTGGGTCTCCCACTTTCTTTCTCACTTTTAGCTGTGCAGAATATACCTCCGAAGACATTAGAGAGTACTTGCACAAAGTAAACACTGTCCCACCGTCATATAACACTGGCAAACTCTGCACAGAAGATCCCGTGTCTGTATCGAGACAGTTTTCTCTAAAGTTTAACGAAATGTTTAATAAAGTATTAATCAAGGGACAGGTTTTGGGCCCGGTTAGCGAGTTTTATTACAAGAAAGAGTACCAGGCCAGAGGAGCTCCTCACTATCACTGTTTAATCTGGATAGCCAATGCTCCAGTTGTCGGTGAGAGTAGAGCCGAAGATGTCGTCAGATTTATAGACGAAAGAGTAACTTGTAACATACCAAATAAAGATACCTGTCCACAGCTACATGAAATTGTTACGAGGTACCAGTTACACAAGTGCAGCAATTACTGTAAGAAAAAGAGAAAGTTTAGCAAAAACGTATTTGTTACAAAGTGCAAATTTGGATTTCCTCGCCCAGTTTCCGAAGAAACCGTACTGAAAAATGTCCAACAAAGCATGAAAGCAGAGAAAAGGATATATCACCTTAAACGGAGCGAGGAAGAAGTGAGAGTCAATGATTACAATCCTCTGCTTCTATTATTATGGAAGGCTAATATCGATGTATCCTTTACCAGTGAGTGTTCTCTTGCTCTGGCCGATTATGTGAGTGGCTACGTGACAAAGGCAGAAAGAGGTCACATGCAGGATCTGTGGCAAGACATCTTAGATGATAGAGGCATCTACAGTAAATTGTTTAGAATCGGCATAAGATGTCTCGACAGCCGACCCATTGGATTATACGAAACATGTGATATATTACTCGGTGAGCCACTTTGTAGAAAATCGAGAGAAGTATCATGGATCGATGTAGAAATGCCGCATAAAAGAAAACGAAATTTAACAAAGAAACTCAGTGAAGTTGAAGAAATAGCAGCAAACGATCCATCAACTGAAGACTTTTATGGGGAGGGCCTTGTCACTCACTTTTATCCAAACAGAGCCCAAGAACATGAAGAATATTGCCTTTATGACTTTGTAGCCAAACTCACTTACAAGGGCAAAGATAAAAATGGCGAACGAATCTATAGACCACTACAAAAAGAGCGCCTTCCTAACTTTATTGATTTCGATGTCTATAAAGAAAATCAGAGAGACAGTTTCTATTATGCCATCATTCTCCTTTTCGTGCCATTTAGAAATGAGGATGAATTAGTTCATGATGGTGAAACTGTCCAAGAAGCATTCGATCGCCACATTGTCGACCACGAAAGGTGTGTCGAAGCAAATGAGAAATTCAGAAAGTTGCTCAAATGTAGAGAGAAATTAAAAGACATACAAGATGCCAGAGCAGCAAACAGAGAAGAGGAAAATGATGTGGAAGACGACGAT